ACACAAAAAGGGGACTAACAGGAATGAGGAACTACCTGAACGGGGTTTAGGGACAGAGAACTGGCGGAACCAGTTAATGAGATGAGTAAAATGACAACAAAATGCAAGAGGCTGAGGAGAGGTTTTTTTCCCAAAGGGTAAAAAGGATTAATGAAAAGCCCGGATGAGCCCTGGTTTACCCCCAAAATCAGGGAGGGAAAAAACCCAAATGGCTAGGGAATGGAAGAAATATGAAGGCAAAGGACCCGGAGAATAAGGAAACAGTCCCTAGAGCCAGAAAAAAAAGCCCAAATAAAGGGAGGCCCAAAGCAATAGAAAATGAATAGCAGCGAAAGCCAAAAACTGACCCCCAAACTGTTATCCCACTTTAGGAGGAAAACAAAGTCAAGGCCCGGGTAATCAGGCTAAGGAAGGAAGGAGGAGAGACAACAAGAAATGACCGTGAAGTATGTGAGGAACTCAACAAGAGATTCAAAGATGGAAATAAATGGTATAAAATACCGACACAATGGAAATATAAACACAAATGCAGTATAATGTGGTCCTTTATTGACTACGTTTCGCCCACACAGTGGGCTTTTTCAAGTCACAAACAGAACTACCTGGGGTTGAAGGAACGCGAGTATTTATAGTCCGGTTCAGAATGCTGAGGTCAGGTGAAGAATGTTGCATCTGATGATGTACCGAGTGGGGTTATAGAGTCTAAAAACTTGGGTAGCTTGGAAAGGAGATTGGACAAGTTTTTTGAGCAGACCTTTTACAGTGTTCTTATGTGGGGTAGCGACGAAGAAGTTTCTTGGCAAGTGGTTCAGCTATGTTATAGAAGCCACATATTCTGGTTTTAAGTTGTCGGATATAGAAATAAGTGATGATTCCAGGATTCTTCGGTATTGAGTGTTGTCTTCTGTGGCGATAAGTCTTGAGTTTCTGTAGTTTATCAAGTGGTTGTGTGAATTACGGTGTTGTACGCAGGCATTCCTTGTGTCGTCAGACCTGCTTGCGTATTGGTGTTCTGAAATACGTGTTTGGAGGTCCCTTGATGTTTCGCCCACGTATAACTTGTTGCAGTCATTACAAGGGATTATGTATACCCCTGCAGAGGATGGAGGCTTGTCCTGTCTACTACTGGTGATGTCCTTGATGGTTGTGGTTGTGGACGTGACTTCCCTATTCACCAAAGTACCTACTACACAAGCCATCGATCTCTTGCGCAGGAAAATTGACGATTCACTTGATCTTCCCATTCCAGCCAGCGATTTCATCGACCTTGTTGAACTATGTGTTGGCTTTACGTGTTTCTCTTTCGAAAATCACCTCTATCAGCAGACTTTTGGACTACCCATGGGTTCGCCACTCAGTGCAGTCCTGGCGAACCTATACATGGAACATCTAGAAGCCGAACGTTTCTCCACCATTATTCCTTCGTCTGTCACCTGGCTCCGTTATGTTGACGACATTCTCCTCATAACTCCTAAACGCTTCAACGTTCAAGCTCTCCAAGACAAGCTCAACCAGGTCGAGCCTTCAATCCAGTTCACACTTGAAGAAGAAGTCGACAACACTCTTCCTTTCCTTGATGTCCTGCTCTGCAAAGCTGACCACGAACTTCGTTTTAAAGTCTATCGAAAACCCACAACCAAAACGATCTTCTCCACTTCCACTCTCACCACGACACCAAAACCAAACGTGGTGTAATTATAGGCTTCTTCCTGCGTGCACTCAGAATCTGCAGCAACGAGTTCCTTGAGGAAGAATGCACTATAATTGAACAAATATTTTCTAAACTCCACTATCCTCGTCACTTCATCAGAGACTGCAGACGGCGGGCATTAAACATCTTCAACACACCCAGAGAAGACACTGACGAGAAGAGATACATAGTCCTTCCCACCAACTCCATTGCCAAACATGTTTCCAACATCTTTGCCAAAACATCATTCCAAGTATCTACCTCCACAACCACAACCATCAAGGACATCACCAGTAGTAGACAGGACAAGCCTCCATCCTCTGCAGGGGTATACATAATCCCTTGTAATGACTGCAACAAGTTATACGTGGGCGAAACATCAAGGGACCTCCAAACACGTATTTCAGAACACCAATACGCAAGCAGGTCTGACGACACAAGGAATGCCTGCGTACAACACCGTAATTCACACAACCACTTGATAAACTACAGAAACTCAAGACTTATCGCCACAGAAGACAACACTCAATACCGAAGAATCCTGGAATCATCACTTATTTCTATATCCGACAACTTCAACCAGAATAGTGGCTTCTATAACATAGCTGAACCACTTGCCAAGAAACTTCTTCGTCGCTATCCCACATAAGAACACTGTAGAAGGTCTGCTCACAAACTTGTCCAATCTCCTTTCCAAGCTACCCAAGTTTTTAGACTCTATAACCCCACTCGGTACATCATCAGATGCAACATTCTTCACCTGACCTCAGCATTCTGAACCGGACTATAAATACTCGCGTTCCTTCCACCCCAGGTAGTTCTGTTTGTGACTTGAAAAAGCCCACTGTGTGGGCGAAACGTAGTCAATAAAGGACCACATTATACTGCATTTGTGTTTATATTTCCAAGAGATTCAAAGAAGTGTTCACAGAGGAGACAGAAGGGGCTCCAGAAAGACGGAGAGGTGGGGCACACCACCATGTGCTGGACACAGTGCACACAACCGAGGAAGAAGTGAAGAGGCTTCTGAGTGAGCTAGATACCTCAAAGGCAATGGGGCCAGATAACATCTCCCCATGGGTATTGAGAGAGGGAGCAGAGGCGCTATGTGTACCCCTAACAACAATATTCAATACATCTATCGAAACAGGGAGATTGCCTGAGGCATGGAAGACAGCAAATGTAGTCCCAATCTTTAAAAAAGGAGATAGACATGAAGCATTAAACTACAGACCAGTGTCACTGACATGTATAGTATGCAAAATCATTGAGAAGATTATCAGGAGAAGAGTGGTGGAACACCTGGAAAGGAATGATTTCATCAACAGCAGCCAACATGGTTTCAGGGACTGGAAATCCTGTGTCACAAACCTACTGGAGTTCTATCACATGGTGACAGCAGTAAGACAAGAGAGAGAGGGGTGGGTGTATTGCATATTCTTGGACTGCAAGAAGGCGTTTGACACAGTTCCCCACAAGAGATTGGTGCAAAAACTGGAAGACCAAGCAGGGATAACAGGGAAGGCACTATAATGGATCAGTGAATACTTGTCAGGAAGACAGCACGAGTCATGGTTTCGTGGCGAGGTGTCAGAGTGAGCACCCGTGACCAGCAGGGTTCCCACAGGGGTCAGTCCTAGGACCGGCTGTTTCTGGTATTTGTGAACGACATGACGGAAGGAATAGACTCTGAGGTGTCCCTGTTTGCAGATGACGTGAAGTTGATGAGAAGAATTCACTCGACGAAAACCAGGCAGAACTACAAAAAGGGGTCTGGACAGGCTGCAGACCTGGTCCAGCAATTGGCTCCTGGAGTTCAATCCCCCCAAGTGCAAAGTCTAAAGATTGGGGAAGGGCAAAGAAGACCGCAGACGGGGTACAGTCTAGGGGGCCGAGGGCTACAAACCTCACTCAAGGAAAAGATCTTGGGGTGAGTATAACACCAGGCACATCTCCTGAAACGCACATCAACCAAATAACTGCTGCAGCATATGGGGGCCTAGCAAACTCAGAACAGCATTCCCCACATCTTAATAAGGAATCGTTCAGGACCCTGTACACCGTGTATGTTAGGCCCATATTGGAGTATGCGGCACCAGTTTGGAACCCACACCTAGCCAATCACGTAAAGAAACTAGAGAAAGTGCAAAGGTTTGCAACAAGACTAGTCCCAGAGCTAAGAGGTATGTCCTACGAGGACAGGTTAAGGGAAATCACCCTGACGACACTGGAGGACAGGCGAGATAGGGGGGACATGATAACGACATACAAAATACTGAGAGGAATTGACGAGGTGGACAAAGACAGGATGTTCCAGAGATTGGACACAGTAACAAGGGGACACAGTTGGAAGTTGAAGACACAGATGAATCACAGGGATGTTAGGAAGTATTTCTTCAGTCACAGAGTAGTCAGGAAGTGGAATAGTTTGGGAAGCGATGTAGTGGAGGCAGGATCCATACATAGCTTTAAGCAGAGGTATGATAAAGCTCACGGTTCAGGGACAGTGACCTAGTAGCGATCAGTGAAGAGGCGGGGCCAGGAGCTCGGACTCGACCCCTGCAACCTCAACTAGGTGAGTACTAGGTGAGTACACACACACACACACGCACGTTCATGTGTATTCAATGACATAAATAATTGAGGAGAAAAAACTTTTAACGCTCAGATATAACTATTAAACAGAAGAAGAAGGTGAAGAAATAAATCATGATACAATGGAAAACAAAAAGTGAACGTGCATGGAAGAAACATTAGCAGATTCTTAGAATAAATTACATATTTCTCCATATCACTCATACAAATTCCTAATTATAACACGTCGATATTTTAATGTTTCTGGAGCGCTATAAATTTCAGGAGGAAATAAAACGTTTTCTAACTTTCCAGTTATAATTTGTAGTTTAGTTGTGAAGTGTTCACTTTTCATTGTATTTCTCAACATAAATATTTATCAATTTTATAATGATACATTATTATTATTGTTTTTGTTATTATTATTATTATTATTATTATTATTATTATTATTATTATTATTATTATTATTATTATTATTATTATTATTAATATTATTATTAGTTGCATTAACTATTATGCAATAAGATCACAGTAAACAAGTGATATCATAAAATGCAGAACAACCATTGTGGAAAGAATAGTGAACTTCCAAGCGTTTTCATAATTTCTCACATTCTAAAGGAATAATGACAATGTGAGAGGTCACGAAAGCTCTTGGAAATTCACTATTCTTTTCACAGTGGTTGTTCTGCACAACAGCTATTATATTTCATCATTCCTGGGTTGTACTGACCAAGTCATGGTGGACGCAGGACATCGGAGATGTGGGGCTCCCTTGTGTCGTATTACATACTTGGTCCAGTAGAGGGCCACTTCTGCTGGATCCTGTGGACGATCTTTCATAACTTTGGACCTTCTTGCTACTTCAGCTCTCATGCTGCCTCGTCACACACACACACCAAGAAATTATTGGTATTATTTATTTGATTTACAAATAGCATCATTACTCACGTCATTACAGAAATATCGCATCATGTATGTTAGCTAATCCTTCAAAACAGAGGTGCCTTAATTCTGATGAAGGGTTCTTGATCCAAAATAGATAAATCTACTATTTCTCTCTTTGGATCAAGCCTAATAAACCACTATTTCTCAGGTGCTATATGATATTAATACAACGGAAGTACTTACACTTAACTATTCTCAATTCACCTTCGTGTTTTGACACCATACATAATCTATTTCCTTTCATATTGCGGGTCATCTCCAGCGTTAAGGTAACTTTTTTATTATTATTAACTCATCGGCCGTTTCCCACCTATGGAGGGTGACCCGAGAAAAAACATTTATCATCGCTCCATCACTGTCTTGTCAGGTAATATATTTAGAGTGAAATTTGGATCCGTTTGTCTTATTCACAAAGATTTGAGAAGGAAGCAATTCAATGTTTCGAAAAACACTCAGTTTCACTATTAATATTATTATAATTTCTTTCATAATCCTTTACAGGGATCTAACATCCTTTTTAATTTATCACGAGAGTTTGTTGGACGCGACTGATGTGTTGCGTTGCAATGAATTACTGGAGTAGTTATGTCGTTGTATATCTGGAGTGATCTAGTGAATGAGTAATGGTAATATCTTTATCTTTTTTTGTAACCCTTGGTGAAAAAACTGAAACACTGAAACAATAAAGTCAACCTTCTCGCTAAAGGTATAATCTTGAGGTCACAATTACCTTTCATCATTCAAGATGATGTTGATCATATTCTTGAGATTATCAAAGGAAAGTTGTTCCCAGAGAAGAACTTTGCCCCAGCCGTTCCTCTGCACCATGTTCATGTTGGAATGCTGGTCAGCAAACACAGGCATTCCCAGCACCGCCACACCGTGGTACATGGACTCCAAGGTGCTCAGCAACCCACCGTGTGTGATGAACAAACGCAAGCGAGGGTCACCTGTGTAACATAACGTGTTAGTTTTCCTCTCTTCTTCCTCTTCTTTTTTTAGTATTATTATTATTATTAAAATTATTTTTATTATTTTACCCACTGGGAAACACACTGAAAGTTCCAAACATTGCAGTAGTTTTTGTGAATTACGTTTAAATAATGCACATTGTTGATATCCTGTGGCCGGTATGACAGAGTTGTCTTCATATGAAGTAACTCTGTGATGCTGGATTTTTGTCTTCGTTTAAGGTGTTTATTAATAATATATTTAATGGGAATTAATGAGCCCGGTTAAAGTCCAACAGGGTCTGCAGAAATTTTTAATGAGGGTCTTACAACAATGGGACAGAATTCAATAACAATGAAAAGTTACAAAATACTAAATATTATTTTTCTCAGCACTACTTAAATAATAATTAAAAAAGTTTTGAAATATTTAATGTTAATTATTTCAGCTTGACATAAATAATTTCATTTTGAGATACTTCAAAACAAATTTGAAAAGATATATTTCAATATTATGAGTCTTTTTTAAGCGACAGGCCTCTAGGCCTGGTGTAAGGACTAAGATCTACTTACCAAGAATATCTTGTTGTGGGAGCCACTTGCCAAGACGGACATTTGGTGGAAGGTCATCCATAGTGTCATTATCCCACTTCCACAAGACTCTCTGCTTGAGGGAGGCAAACACTTGAACAAAGATTGTGCGGTACCTGTGTGTTTAGTGAGTTTGGTTTAATTATACTGCTGCTCACACCTTCCTGAACTTGAAAGAAAAACATTGAAAATATAAAGACAAAGAAACAGGCTGGAGAATAAGCTTTATGAAAACAATGTGTCGCCCTGAGTAGTGCTTTATGAAGTCATGATAATGTTCTACACTGAACAAGCTTTAGTTATCCTAACTAAAGTTTATTCTTCAACTTGCATCTTTGTCATCATACTTGTCAGTAATTAGCCCTTCTCTCTGGTTGAGAAAGTACATGAGTCTAAACCTGTAAAGTTCATAGTGTGTAATCTAGATGATAATTATTTAATTATCCTGGTAACAGAATTACAAATTAAGATGATATAGTTAAACTTATTATTTAGATATTTATTAAAAATTAAAAGCAAAAAATAAAATCAAATGTGACGAAAGAATATGAACAGATTTTCCTACGTGGAAGGAATCCTTCATGCAAATCCTACAGTAAATATTTTAAGGATATTTTCCTGGGTGATAGAGGACTGGCATAACATATGCCTATAACTTTTTAATTAGTATATTGATTAACAAATCAATACAGTGCAAAAAAAAAAAACTTAAAGAACAGAAACTTTACACTTATTCAGAAAAAATCTTTACATGAGTTTATTTTAAATTATAACAGCTTTTTAATATTTCTAAGCAAAAATGTTCATAACTAGCAGAGTTATAGTGAGAGTGTATAAAGTTGGTGACGGCAGATCATGGATCACAGTGTGCTGGTCCACTACCTTTAAGTGAGACATATTATCAACTATTTATTGCTTTTATTGTGCAGCTATATGGACACACACAAAGATACATTGTTTTATTCCTTGTAGAATTAAGAAACAAGAAAGAGAACTTTCAGATGCAATACTGTGAGGAGCGAGGAATTAGCGACAGGTAAACTTGCACCAGTTTCAAATATCCAGTTCCATGTATCGAGATACTCACTAAGTGGTACAGTTTCTCAGTGCCATCTGTGATATATGTTGGGGAAGTTTTCTCCCAAGTAAATAATCGGATTACTTGATCACAAAACTCTGCTAAGGAATTCTCCCCGAGAGAGTTAGACATCCAAAAGGTGCGTACGAGCGTGTTAAGAATGAGTGGAGGCAAGTGTTTTTTAGGACTTTACATGCTATTGGCGTGTTAGCAAGGTAACATTTATGAAGGGATTCAGGCAAACTCTTTAGCCAGACTTGAATCCTGGAGGGGTGGAGATATTGCAGTTTAGAGGGGCATCCAAGCTGTAGTATTGGCTCGATTCTGACAAGACAATTATGGGATGAATGATGGTGAAAGTGTTTCCTCTTTTTTGAATCACCTTAAAAATAATAATAATAATAATAATAATAATAATAATAATAATAATAATAATAATAATAATAATAATAATAATAATAATAAAATAATAATAATAATAGCAATAATAATAATAATAATAATAATAATAATAATAATAATAATAATAATAATAATAATTATTATTATTATTATTATTATTATTATTATTATTATTATTATTATTTTTATTATTATAAATTAATAATATGTAAAAAATGTATTTTATATTACTCTGGAATACGTTCAGTATATTTTAGTTTTCTTACCTACCTACACTGAAGAGAACACTGTCATTTAAACAGTCCTTCCTCTGAACCACAGACATCATCGTACTGTTGTAAAATCAGTCATATGGATAGCTTGTTGACGGAGCCTTGAACAGTTGAAATATGACATATATTGTTCACGCAGCAGTCTGTTTTATCCTTTTTACCTTAATATTTTTTCTTTGTAATCTAACCTAACTCAACCTAGCTTAGAAATGGGTTGCAAACCCTATGTGAAAGTGAGACAATTTCTGGAAGAGCGGGTTGCATTTCCATTATTACCTGACTATTATATTTTTGCACTGCATTTTTCTTCGCTGAAACACAGGTACCTATTTTTACTCTAGTGTGGGCAGGGACAAGAACATGTAAGGAAACTTACCCATTACTTTTTGCTGATCTGAATATTGAACTCGGTAGCTATCGGCTGTGGGCCAAACGTAATCCTTAAATAAAATCTGAAGAGGCGGTTCACTTCTCTTCTTTCATGGGTGTGCCTGAAGCTGGTGAAGGACTCTCGATTCGAGGAGCTGGAGGTACTCTTTCCTTACTCAGAACAAATCATATAACCCCCTTCAACTCGTATTCCCTAGGCGTTCTATGATTTGTATGGATTTAGTGCTTTCCATGACAATGATCTTATTAAGTAACTTTGATCATACTTACTCCTCTGGCATACTGGAGGGCGTGACAGCTGACCCAAGACTGAAGAAGATGAAGCCAGCATCACCAGCATCTTGTACCCAGTCTTCTAGATCCTTCAAGAAAAGATTGTCCATGTGAAATATGTCATATCATATTAAACTGAGAATAACACAACGCCGAATGAATTAAATCGACTTTGTTTTGAATACTGAGAACTTTAACAGGTGTGACGCAGCTCGGCAGGATGTACAGGAAGTTGCGCTCTTCATGAATGTTCGTATCTGCTCATGCAAAATCAAAATCTCCCACATATAAAGAGAACTAAAATTACCAAGAAAGTGCTGAGGCTTAACCATTAATAGATAATAGAAACAGGGTTTTAAGAACATATCCTTGTGGAATCCCTCAGCTTAATCAGTAACAGCTTCATAAGCTGTTATTGATCCATACACTAATGAGTCTGGATCAATAACAGTTCTGCCATGAAGGCTTTGGGAATATGTGGGAGTTGGACTTTTAGGACCAAGGAAACGAACTGGAAATGTGTAGGGGTAACTTACTTGTGAGAGAGGCTGTGCAGGACGCAGATGTATGCCACCACAATGCACCACTGCAGGAACAACAGGACGAGCTGGATAATCGACGGTTTGTATGCTGTAGAAATTCAACACAATCTAACCTTTGTTAACCTTAAACATATATCAAATAATTTTCGTTTTCTCTGGCATGATAAATCATATCAAAGGCATGGTAAAGAAACACAGAATGTGGAGCAGGTCTCACACTGCTTCTGTAAGTGTCAAGCATTATCATGTTATGATAAAGCAATGCTGACTGAAAGGTTGTCAAAAAACTTGCACTGAAAAAATATCCCTCTTGAATCATTTTCTTATAATTTTATAAGGGGTAAATGGAAGGAAAGAGCAGTTATCCTGCTCAACTTAATGCAAAGTTCGGTCCATATTTTGGCCCTTCCTGGGCCATTGTCAAACCACTCTTGGGCGAGAAAAGTAGAGATGGCTAAACAACACTACTTATGGGGAAGATGGTAAAGGGGAATTTTTGGTAGCAGTAGTATTGGAAATAGTAAAAATAGTAGAAGTAGTAATAGTAGCAGTAATAGTAATAATAATAGTTGTAGCAAATGTAAGAAGACTTGCACCAAACGTTAGGAGAATTGTAGCAACTGTCAGGAGGCTCTAACAAATGTTAGGAAACTTGTATCAAATGTAGGTAACTTGTAGCAAATGTTAGGTGACTGGTAGCAAATGTTAAGAGGCTCGTAGCGAATGTTAGGAAACTTGCCTGGTCGTCTCGCCCGGCTTGACTATCCAACTTGGGTTACATGGGATGTGAATCAACAGCTTTAACCACCAAGTTTTACTCAACACTCGAATAATGATGATAATAATAATAATAATAATAATAATAATATAATAATAATAATAATAATAATAATAATAATAATAATAATAATAATAATAATTGTAATCATAATCATAATAATATAATAATAATAATAATAATAATAATAATAATAATAATAATAATAATAATAATTATTATTATTATTATTATTATTATTATTATTTCATTATATTATTATTATTATTATTATTATTATTATTATTATTATTATTATTATTATTTATTATTACTATTATTATTATTAAAGTTGTAACTAACCTATTTATCAGTACAAGACTTGTATTTGAACCGATTTCCAAAAAGCTGGGCATATCATCTGGACAAAGGCCGCGACGACGACATTCAGATTCTGTTCTGTGGAAAATGGAGCAATTGAAGCCATTAATAGCATTATCCTAAATTATTTCTCTTCTGGTGGTTAAAATAAATTGAAAATATAGACATTTAATAAGTTATTCGTTTGTTATTCAGTAAAATTGGGTATGTCGGTGGTGGGTTAGTACCCTAGTTTACATCAGCAATGGAATGGGTTATATTATTTACATCAGCAATGGAATGGGTTATATTATTTACATCAGCAATGGAATGGGTTATATTATTTACATCAGCAATGGAATGGGTTATAAGATTTACATCAGCAAGGAATGGGTTATATTATTTACATCAGCAATGGAATGGGTTATAAGATTTACATCAGCAATGGAATGGGTTATATTATTTACATCAGCAATGGAATGGGTTATATTATTTACATCAGCAATGGAATAGGTTATATTATTTACATCAGCAATGGAATGGGTTATATTATTTACATCAGCAATGGAATGGGTTATATTATTTACATCAGCAATGGAATGGGTTATATTATTTACATCAGCAATGGAATAGGTTATATTATTTACATCAGCAATGGAATGGGTTATATTATTTACATCAGCAATGGAATGGGTTATATTATTTTTTTTATCAAGTGAGATGAGGAATTGTTTCCTAATATGGATCTCGCATAATGACTGTCAGGAGAACTTCTGGTCATTTGGCCCAGAACTTCGTCAAGCAATGAACCTCACGCCATTCTAAGTTACATTCTGCAAGGTTTATTATATCCGAGAACTTTATTTACCAAATCTTTACCATCTGTCATGTGTTTAATGATTACATTTTTGTAGTGGAGAACTGCTACTACTACTGCTACTCTTTATCTTTCTCTCTTTCATGTGTCCCCTTCTAGCCCATTGACTGTGGCAACCCAAAAATCCTGAGGTGTCTCCTGGTGTCGCAAAATTTCAAAAAAAAAAAAAAAAAAAAAAAAAAAAAAAAAAAAAAAAAAAAAATTATGAAATGATAGAGAATCTTTTCCCGATTGTAATGACACCAAGAGAACAAAATTTAATGGAAAACTGACGGAATTACGCTCTCGCAAAATTAGCGACCTCGATGATATTTATGAATCGGCGATTTCGTCCAATTTGAGCCCTATTATCGCCTAATTCCGTTGTTCCAGTCGACCAAACTCATAGCTATTTCTTTAGAACTCCATTTTGTCTATCTACTGAGTACAAGAAACTGCCCATTTACCGATTTTAACTACCCAATAAGGCGGTCAGAAATTTGCAATTTGGCCAATTTCACGAAAATTAAAAATTATGACAATTTCAAAATAGGGTCTAGAATTAACAATTCAGATATTCCTGGCTCTAAAATAACATTTTCTTTGATCATCAGTCACGTCTCTAGGCCCCTCTAACATTACTCTTGCTTTCTATTTTGATTTTTTATTAAAACGAAAAATAGAAGATTTACTGTTTGCAGACTATTGCAATATTGTAATAATTGTATAAATAGTGTCACCCCATTCATGACTGCATATTAGAATGGCTGCTTGGACATTTATTGGAAAATGACATCATTTGTTTACTTTTGAATATCGGCAAAAATCAAACATCTCCCCTACTTTGAGCTCCATTTCAATGTTCTTTTCATAGTAAAACCAATCAAAGTCACCACTAGTTCTATAATATGTTTTCCATTCTATCAAATGAGGCCAAGAAAACGAGAATGCAACTATAAATACTATACGAAAATAGACCACAAATTCGGTGTTTTAATTAAAAAAAACGGTCCGAGTTTATTTTCTCATTATGCACTGCGTGCTGCAGTATATTTTTATATGGTGCACACTGACCCCAGAGACCCATTCTCTCACATGTGGGCCTACCAGCTTTCTCCTGCTTGATTTGAAGCTGCCAGAATTTATGAGTTTACATACGTCAAACACCGTGGCTCGTAAGACGTATATATACGACCGAAACAGTCAAAGGGCTAGGTACAGATGTCATTTATTTTTGTTTATGTTCAATTGCCAGTAATAAGGAATATATTGCATTCTTAAATTATTATCGTCAAGTTTGGCTGATGTGAGTCCTGCAGATTTTTTAATAATACAGTGGCTGCTTTTTTTTTTTTTGTATTATAAACTTGTCGACAGTACAAGGGGTAGAAAACCATCACTATTTAGGCACATTAGATTTTGAAGCAAATGAAGTCAGAAAGTATATATATGAACATTCCACCAAGAGTCAAAAATACTTTAATATGTAAAGAAAAATTAAAGTAAATTTTGAGTGTACCTACATTACGAGGTATTTTAAATTATCAAATTTACCATATAAAATCTATTAGGCCTTCTTATGTTATTTGAAAGTCCTGTCGTAGCTATGATATGCCTCCTCCCCCAGGATACACTAACAACACTCGACTAACAGAGAGGTATCAATAAAATGATAATTGTAAAGTAGCAACTAATGAAAGAAGATTAACTCTTAGAAACCTATTTACTGCTGATGGATTGGGGGGGGGGGGTAAAGGGGTACGTTGAAAAATGCTGATCTTCTCTTAGTCACTTACTGCTAAGTTAACAATTGCAGCAGGTGTACATATGCGAACACTCAGTTACCTATTTACTGCTAGGTGAAAATGAGAGCAACAAGTGTATGGAGATTCTCCTACACGTTTTATTCATGACAGAAAAATCGAGAAAAAACATGATCACATACGCTGGAGATATATAGTAATAGAATATAGCGTCCAAAGCAATGTCAGAGAGCGTGCTGATTGTTCTCTCCATGAACGTCATAGGATGTTTGAAGTCCATCATCATGTTTGCATCATAGGAGGGAAAGCGTGTGTTTCCTATTATTGATGGCAGTGGTGATATCAACCCTGGTGGGCTCACGTATATAAAAGGAATCTGAAGACAAAATATCCTTATAAAGCTGAGAATACACTATGTTAATAATAATAATAATAATAATAATAATAATAATAATAATAATAATAATAATAATAATAATAATAATAATTTTGATACTAAAATTATTTCGGTCTCTGCGCGATCCGAAAATGGTATCCCCTTTTTATTGCAATGCCACAAATATATCTGTAGTCGGCGAGAATTGGGGTGGCAAGGCGAAGGGCAACACCAATGCGGATGGTCTGCTGGTCGAGAAGTGTGCCGAGGGAGGAGGGGGAACAGCCAACAGGAGGAGCTCTCACTGCTAATAGTCGGGCTCTATCCTTCTTCAACACACTCTGAAGCATGTCTGAGGCTGTGTTCTCCGTTTAAGGGCCATTTTAGTGTGACTGTAGCTTTTGGAGGGAAGCAGGTTTGCTTGCAGAGCTCGTTAGATTATCCCAAAGCATGGCTCCTGCAACGAACTTTTGGTCATGAACTCCAACATTGTCATAAGGTGTTCAGGGAGAATCGCTGCTACAAGTAAATTGGATTTAACACATGAAGACTTTCTTGTTCCAGTCTGACTGGAAATGTAGCTTGGTTCCCACTGTCAGTCTTCTAGAGTAAGATTTGAAAACTTTCGTAAAGATTTGCTTGAGGACACTGGCGTATTCGTGTAATATAGGGATATCATATGAGGGTGCATATCTTTGGAAATATGTTAATTAACCTGGAAAGACTCAAGCACTTTGTAAGAAGGTACATGCCATCATGGGTGTCAAGACTGCCTACCCGTTGTTCCAACCTCCTGAGAATTGAGTCAATGGCATCAGTTCCCAGAGGAGCTCCAAACAAGACGCTATTTGTGGGGGCAATAACTGGTGCTCCTGCTAGTTTTGATCTCACTGCGTCGATCAGCTGTTGATTGATTGAGATGATTTCACATTTGGATGGATTCAGGATGAGTCCCCTTATTCTCAAATGGTCAAGATTAACTAGAAGGGACTCCTGTGTGCCATCAACCAGGAGCCAGATGTTTATCTCACTGGTCAGCCTGATGGTGATTTCCCTAACCTGCTGGAGTGTAAGCAAGGAAACATTTATGAAGGGATTCAGGGAAACCGGCAGGCCAGACTTGATTCCTGGAGATGGGTAGTACAGTGCCGGCACTCTGAAGGAAGGGTGTCAATGTTGCAGTTTCATAAGTGTAGTTAAAGCATTCCTCTGGGAAGACAGTGATGGAATGAATGGTGATGAAAGTTTTTCTTTTTCGGGCCACCCTGCCATGGTGGGAAACGGCCGATGTGTTAATAATATAAAATAAAAAATAAATAAATAAATAAATGAATATATAAATAATAATAATAATAATAATAATAATAATAATAATAATAACAACAATAATAATAATAATAATAATAATAATAATAATAATAATAATAATAATAATAATAATAATAATAATAATAATAGGCCTTCATTGTTGTATATATTTCACTTGCATTGTCAACATACTGAAATAATTTATCTTTGCCTGATCATTAGTCCTAATACTTTTAATAAGAAAAATATAAAAATGTAGCAATTAAAGAAGACTTGGTACATGACTCACCTTCATCTGATGAACTATTGACAAGAAACAATCAGACATGAACACGCTGAGGAGAACCAAATCAAAATCTTCCTTCAATAAATTTTGAGCTTCTTCCTTTTCCAGAGCATCAACGCAAAGGCTCGGCATAATGTTTATCATTGTCATAAAAGAATTCATTTTATTTTCCTTAAAAAAATTTGGAGTGTGATGAGAAAGATCCCCGCCTGAGAGGACTACCTCATGAACATTTTCTCGAACTTTTGATGACTTGAATGGCGACACCATTGTAACCTGTAAAAGAAAAAGAAATTTATGATGGTGTGTTGTTCTCAGAAAAAAAAAGGCAAATTTCTTCCGACTCGGGACTTTAACGTTTGATGACTTTCTCTGTGGTAAAGCATCAACTGGAAAACCATAATTAGGTGTAGCACCACTAAAAGAACACTTGCTATTACATAGTATTGCGCGACATAAGATATCATTGTTTTCTTCAAGGGTTATATTCATATTAGTCTAAAATACATATCTTTAGTTAGTATTTTCCATTATGGATGAAAGTGAAGATTTCGAAACGGAAATCAGCAACCACTTGTATCCAATGTCTTATTTTTCTGCATACGAAGAAAGACTCTGTACTCTGTTATCTTGAAAATCCGCGACTCCAGAATATGAGGGCTGTTACAGTAACCAGTGTTTGTCATCTGATATATCAAATCTCTCTCTCTTTTTAATTTTTTTTTTTACACAGGGTTTGACAAGGTTAGGTTAAGGATCCCCATCTTTATTGACAAGCTATTTACAGGATGAGGATTTCAAACTTAATACAAGCTAAGAGCTGTTACCTACATCAGCTCATTTGAAAGCATTTTTATTGTTGTGAAACATACAAGTAGGGAACAGGATGAAGTTGGAGCCATCTGGGGGCCAGCATTTTCATTTGATCAACTGACTTTATCTCGTTGACATCATAACGCTGTACGAATGTGTTCCAGACTCGAGTCATCCTGGGAATTAATGATCTCAGATGAAGTGATGTTCTGGAGAAGGGTACAGCCAGAGTGAAGTTGCTGCTTTCTGCCCGTCTTGTGGTATAGAAACTTGCTTCATGCTGTCCTCGAAGTGGAGCCAAGTGTGGTACTTTGACAAAATTGGCCTTGTACATAACAGTAAGGCCACCGCATCCCTCCTGTGTTGAAGGCTCTGCTGAAATGACAGATCTATCCAGGATGGGTCCAGGCGAAAGATGAGACGTCTTGCTCTGTTCTCTACTCTGTCAAGCAGTCGCAGATGAGAAGGGGGGCAGGCGAACCAAGAAAGTGGAGCATACTCAAGGTGTGAGCGTACTTGTGCCTCGTACAAAATCTTGCAACCCCTGTTGTCAAGCAGATGCGAGATACGGCGAAGTGCTTTAAGCTTCCTTGCTGCCTTGTTTGCAAGATTTACAACGTGGTTTTTCATGGTCAGTTTGGAGTCAAATTTCACCCCAAGGATATCAACTTCTTTCCCAGGTGCTAATACCCTCCCATTCCCCTTACTACTGCACTGGCATTACCATCTTGGTGCCTAGAGATCATCATCATTTGTGTTTTCTCAGGTGCAAATGTTACTTGCCATCTATTTCCCCAAGCTGATATAGCTCTGAGCTGGGGATTGATGTAGCTTAGAGCAGCTGGCATTTCTTCTCTTGAATAAGTGAATGTCAGTGTACAGTTGTCTGCATATGCATGGGATTCTGGGATGAGATGAAGAATGTCATTTAAGTAGACATCCCAAAACAATGGTCCCAGAACACTTCCTTGTGGAACACTTGCCCCAATAGGATGTCTTGCTGATTCTGATTCTGTTCAGTTGAGAACTACCCTTAGAGATCCACCATTAGGGTAATCACTGAGGAGACAGTGTAGAGCCTGTAATTCCCAGAGCTTGCAGTTTTGGTAAGAGACTGTGTTGTAGCACTGGACATTGCTAGTGCACACAGCTGACTTTGGATTCATCCAGTGACTGGTGTCACTTAGTAGAGAGGTTTAACAACAGATCAGTAGCGGAGTAATCTTTCCTGAAGCCATATTGACGGTCACAAAGTAGTGAGTGGTAGTCAAAAAACTGTCATTTGTCTTGAGATTATTGTCTCAAGGAGCTTGCCAGTGATTGACAGGAGTGACACCTTCTGTAGTGCTGATTTCTGCTCTGCTTATCTTTTTTTGAACAGGGACTACATTTGCCTCTTTCCACAGTGAAGGCCATTTACACTGTATTAGGCAGTGCTGAAAGATGCGAGTTAGAGGTGCTGCTAGCTGGTCTGCACATCTTCTCAGCAATCTTGGGCTTAACTTGTCTGGGCCCTCAGCTTTTTTTTGGTCAAGCAATTTAAGAAGGAAGTGCACCTCTTCCTGCCTTATTGTCACCACTGACAGTTTTGACACAGTTCTTGTAGCTAGCCAAGGAGGGTCCCTTGCTGGATCAGGAACTTGCATTTTGGTAGCAAAGTGTTTGGCATAGAGGTCTGCCTTCTCTTGACTACTAGTAGAGGTGGTCCCATCCTGTTGATTTAGAGGTGGAATGAGTTCATCAGGCAGATAACCTTGTCTGTCCTTGACCAGGGACCACCAGGTTTTGGAGCCTACCCTACCTGATGCTAGTTTTCTTCTTGTGTCCATCTCCCATTTAGCAATGACCCACTTTTGAACGTCACCCATATGCTTACAGGCTTGCCTGTGCAAGTTCCTGTTATAGGTGGTAGGTAGGATGTCTCTTATACCTTCGCTATGCTTTGTACTTAGCATCAGCAGCCTCTCTACAACGAAAGCCAAACCAAGGCTGATCTGTAGGCTTCATAACATATTGCCAGTGAGGAATGTGTTCTTGTTGTAGATTAAGAATGTGTCCAGTGAAGGCTTTCACTTGGTTGTCAACATCCCATTGGAGAAGAGCATTCCAATTGGTGGTGGCGAGCTCAGAGCAAAGGGTTGGCCAATTACCTCTTTCCCATAGCCAAGTTGCGCATGTGGACTCCTCACCTCGTCGTAAAAACAGCCTTGTGGTCAGATGATGCAATGTAGCCGAGGGATTGACAAGTGACTATGCTTTCTGCCAGATCGCTCACTACTGGGTCAAGGGAGGAGCCAGAGATGTGAGTAGGGAAATCAACATAGTTTCTCATGTCAAATACTGCGAGAAGGTCATCAAAGTCTCCCTGTATAAGGTGCTGGTTGAGGTCACCAACAATTATGACATGTTGACAGTTGTGTTGTAGCAGAAGGGAGCCCACATTTTACATTAGGAAGTTGATGGGGTCTGTATGTTGCCACTGAGGTCTGTACATTTCACATGCTAGTACAGAGGTACTAGTGTTTATGCATAGCTTGAAGAACATCATTTCAAGATGAGTAGGGATGGCAACATCAATGTGCTGGGCATGTAAACTTTTAGAGAAGCACACAGCAACACCTCTTCCTTGCCCTTTCCTATCTCTTCTCATCCATGAGATGTAGCCAACAATTCTTGAAAAATTTTCTGGAGTCCTGTCGTCCAAAAATATTTCAACAACAGCTATCAAGTCGGGACTTTGAGTGTTCACAAAACTGTGTGTGAGCTCTCCAACATTAGTAATGAAACCTCTAATGTTGGCAGACAGGATGCTGATAGACTGGCTCCTCATGATGTGGTCACTTGAAGTGGTGGATGTGTAAGGCATGTAAAGTTCCTGTCCTCGAGAGAGGTAGGGCACTGAGGCAGCTGCAGGGATGTAGGTCTGTGGTCTTGTATAAGGCACAATACCACCTGCTGGGCTGAGACAGGAGTAGCTGAGTGGGTGACATGTGAGTGTGTTCACCAGTTCAGAGATCCTGCTGTTTTTTCCGAGAGCAGGTCTCTCAACAGGTGATCCTGTCTATCAAGTTCCTTTTCCTTTCGACACTAGTCCTCCTGATGTCCTTTCCTGTGGCAGTAATTGCACCTGGTATCTCGCATGCAGTTGTTGGTGGTGTGCCCCTTCCGGTGACAGCTAGAGCACTGCTTAGGTGCCTGGGAAGGTGGACTATTATTTGTTGCACCCCTTGTGTTTTGCTGATTTGTCCACAGGTTCCGCCTCTGGGACTGTGTTGGTGGAAGGTGAGACGGCTGTAGATGTCTTCCTCCTCTGCATCCTCTTCCACGTCCTCCACCACGTCCTCCGCCACGTCCTCGACCATGCCCTTGTGCAGTTCTGACAGATGTGTCCCTGTTGTTCGTACTTTGTTGTAGTAGGTGTTCAGGTGCAGTGATAGTGCCCTGATTATTAACTGCACCAATCTCTGGTGTAGAAAATCCTGGCTCAGTTCTTGCTGATGAAGCACTGCTGCCAGATGTTGGAATAATGTCGACAGGTGTGCTGACAGGTGTAGGATCAGAGATGGTATGTGCACTGTCTAGTGTACTGGCAGGTGCTGAAGTAGGTGTAGGAGAATTAACAGATCCAATGCTTGCTTCGTTGTTGGAAAGAGGATCTGTTCCCTCTGTGGTGGTCAGAGGAATTGTGCTAGTATTCCCAAAGGTAGTGTTTTGAACTCTGTCAATCTGTGGGGCCTTAGCAATAACAGAATTCCAACAGTTATTTACCCCTGAGTTATGCTCAGTGTGGGACTTCCAGTCTTAGTTAATAGTGTCACCATCAGCTGAGCAGCTTATGTTACTTGATGTAGGCTTGCACTGGCCTTCTACAATAGCTTGAAGGTTATCTAATGATTTGAGGAGCTCATGAAGTGATTCCCTGTGATGGATTATCTTAGCTGCAACTTTACAACACAGCCCATGAGGGCAGTCTTGATCTCTGGACAAGAGTCCCTGAGGTACTTCTGAACCTTCCTCCTATAGCACCAGGTTTGTTTCCTCATATACCACAGGAGTATGGATATCCTTCAATTTTCTGAGATTTTTAACCTGGTTACAGCAGAATTCTTCTTCTGGAATGCAATCTGTGTGGCAGCAGTTGGAACAAGTAGGCTCCTTACATCTAAGAAGTATTTTGTCCCTTGTAGTATACCCACAAACACTGCAGTAACTACTGGGACAATAGCCAGATAGCGAAGATATTCTTGCTATTTTGCGATGTGAATTCATCACAGAGGAGGTGTTGTAGGTTTACAATGAAGTTCACAGGAGGGAGAGGGTGGGTGGTGGTATCATGGGGGTGTTTATAACGGGGTGGGTAGTGAGGGAGGGTGGGGAGGGTGAGGGCAGGCAGTGGGTCGGCAAGCTGGAGGTATTGCCTTCTCACTTTCACTTAATAAACACTGTTTATGTTATCCACATTTTCACTATATGAAGTTGTTACACAAATCACTCTGTTGCATTGTACAAGTCACGTTGTTATAAAGCACCCAGCTGTTTGTACATAGAGATATAATATTAGATGCTCACTGTGATGGCAATAGTGACGTCACTCCTAGGCCTGCCCTTCCCCTCACTCTCACCACATTGTACACCAAAACACTCTTAACTGTCACTGATTTCGCTTATATTCACTTCTTTGGAGGAGTTGGCTTACTTGTACTTTTGTGCTGTAGGTAGTACTAGGTCACTGAACAGTTTTTTCCTCAACAACCCTCATAGTTAAGTAATATTAAGAAAGTTTGTGGAGCACACTGTGACACGTCCTCCCTGTCCCTCCCTGCCTCTCTCTCTCTCTCTCTCTCTCTCTCTCTACTCTCTCTCTCTCTCTCTCTCTCTCTCTCTCTCTCTCTCTCTCTCTCTCTCTCCTCTCTCTCTCTCCTCTCTCTCTCCTCTCTCTCTCTCTCTCTCTCTCTCTCTCTCTCTCTCTCTCTCTCTCTCTCTTCTCTCTCTCTCTCTCTCTCTCTCTCTCTCTCTCTCTCTTTTACACAGGGTTTGACAAGGTTAAGGATCCCTAGCTTTATTGACAAGCTATTTACAGATTAAGGATTCCTAACTTTATTGGCAAGCTAAGAGCTGTTACCCACATCAGCTCATCTGAAAGCATTTTTATTGTTATGAGACATACAAGTAGGGAACAGGATGAAGTTGGAGCCATCTGTGGGCCAGTGGGCCTGGTCACAGACCGGGCCGCGGGGACGTTGACCCCCGGAACTCTCTCCAGGTAAACTCCAGGTAAACTGACTTTATCTAGATGATATCATTATGCTGTACAAGTGTGTTCCATACTCGAGTCATCCTGGGTATATATGATCTCAAATGGAGTGATGTTCTGGAGAAGGGTACAGCCAGAGTAAAGTTGCTGCTTTCTGCCTGTGGAAATTTATTTGGTCCCTAAACTTCCACAGGACAGATCCAGCATGGCCGTAATGGGACGGATGAGCTGGGTCTTCCTTAAACCCTCCCAAACAAACAGCATTCTCTCCATTTGGCGTGGATTGTTGGTAGGCATTTATTTAATTTATAGATTTACTCTTCAGGGAAGGAGTAGGTAGTTTTACTGTTAGTACACTAATATTAGGTTTACTAAGACAACTGTAGATAGTAATAATGTAGACCTAAGACCTAACATAGGTAGTAATAGGCCAATAATGTAGGCAAACACTAGGATAAGTTAGCTAGGGAGAACTGGCAGCCCTAGTTTGAACGAAGAGACTAGGGTCTGGAAGAGAGACCAGCTCGTTCTTCTTAAGACAGACACCAACTGGACAAGACGTGCCGTGATCAGCAGATGGCGCCCCCCACGTGTCTTCACATTTGAGACCTGGGGAAATCTGGTAGAGGCACCTCGATGTACCATAGATGACCTCCTCTGCCAGGCCCATACAGTAAGACAAGACCTCCACTATATCTCGTAGATTTCTGGCCAGTGTCTGGGGAGATTGTGAGTGAGTTGATCTGTGGGCCCGGTGTGCAACAGGCAGTGCATGCCCAGTAAGTACCAGTGTCTCAAGGCAGTCTGGAAGCTAGTGTCCATGTCTGCATAGTTATACTAGGGGATACTTACCCTCTTGGATATAGAAATCTCTGAGGTGCAGGCAGGTCACTAATAACGATTGAATATTGCAGGAATTAAGGCTCCTGGTTGCACATGGTTTCTGAGGGGAAGTCAAGAGGGGCTAAGGCCAAGCTTAGGGAAGTTGAAGATCAGGATATATGCTGCAACACC